TTCCGATAGATCAAGACGAGTAGCCGTGTTAGTCTGTCTCTAGGAGTGGAAAAGAGCAAGAGTCCAGGAGCACAAATTTTGTTAGTCTTCAGAAGAAGAAGAGATTGGATTTACACCCCACCCTTCACTACACAAAGGAGTCTCCGAGTGGCTTACAATCTCCTTTGAGAGCCAGTTTGGTGTAATGGTTAGGATCGCGCACTCTTATCTGGGAGAATGGGGTTTGATTCTCTGCTCCTCCACATGCCTCCAGCTGGGTGACCTTGAATCAGTCACAAGTTCTCTCAGAGCTATTGCACCTGCTGATGTGACCTTGGGTCATTCACAAGCTCTGGCACAGCTGTCCTTGAAAAAGTGCAGTTTGTGTCAGAGCTCTCTCAGCCCCACCCACCTCACAGGGTGTCTGTTGTGGGCAGGGGAAGGGAAAGGAGTTTGTAAGCCGCTCTGAGACTCCAAGTGAAGGGCGGGGTATAAATCCCAATCTCTTCTCTTATTCTTCTCTTCTTTCCCTTCCCCTCCCCACAACAGAAACCCTGTGAGTTAGGTGGGGCTGAGAGAGCTCTTTCGAGGACTACCCTTGAGAGAACAGCTCTGAGAGAGCTTGTGACTGACTCAAGGTCACTCCAGCAGCTGCATGTAGAGGAGTGGGGGATCCAACCCAGTTCTCCCAGGTTAGAGTCCACGCTCTTCACCACCACACCAGACTGGCTTTGTACAGCTTTGTACATCAGTGCTGTTGGTATTTGACTCATGTTGTGCCTGCTTGCTTCTCCTCTCTCCACTCTGCAAATTTAGCATAGCACTTATAAAGTAGTGGCCACCTGACACAGCACAATGCAGTGAAGTCTTCTCCCACATGTTTCTGCCCAGCAGTTAAGATTATAGGGAGAGGCCCTCCTGACCAATGCTCCCTCTAAGCTGTGGAGTCTTGTGAGCAAAAATTCTACTGTGTGAGCTACTGTCATGAAAGTTGTGAATTAATTATTCGGCTACTGCATCAATTAGTCTGCTCTGGGGCCATCCTTCCTGATTTGAGACAGAAAATAGGTGAGCCGGAGGCTAAAAAAACTGTGGGCTAGCTCACACTCACTCAGCTTAGAGGGAACCCTGCTCCTGACTGTCCCGCCACTCAAAGAAGCTTGTCTGGGGGACACACGAGAGAGGGCCTTTTCAGCAGCAGCCCCATGACCATGGAACAACCCCCACTCCAGGAGGTGTTCCTGGGGCCCCCCTCCCTTTCTATCTTCAGGAGGCAGTTGAAGACAGTTTTATTCAGGGCAATTTTTGTAGAAAAAGCCCAGCAGGAACTCATTAGCACATTAGGCCGCACCCCCATGTTACCAGAAGTGTGGTCATCCAGCCACACCCACCTTTTGCTTCTTATTCTGTTTACCTTGTTTGTTGTCAAAACCCAGGGCCTTTTTTTGTAGCAGGAGCTCCTTTGCATGTTAGGCCACACACCCCTAACGTAGCCAATCCCAATGAGTCTCTGGTGTTGGGTGTGGCCTGTTATGCTAATGAGCTCCTGCTGGGCGTGGCCAACTCGGGAGCCTTCCTGTGCGTTCCTGCCCAAAAATAGCCCTGGTTTTATTTAGGACTGCATTTGACTAATTTAGTTTCTATTTATTGGCAGCCAGGCCTGTAGGTATGGTGGGGCTTTTAGGGGCTCCGTCCCCTTCGTTAAAGGCACAGCCCCACAAGGTCTCCCCTTCGAAAACTTTTAGAAGCATTTTTTAAAAAAGGGGTGTACTCCCAAGTTCCCAAGTCCCCAAGTCCCTCTCTTCTGTGTTAATTAATTATTTTAATTTTTTAGCCCCACAAGCCAGAGAATCTTGGCTACAGGCCTGTCGGCAGCCGTAACTAAGATTTCCAATTGTGGTCTTTTAGGTGTTATTTTAGAAATATTGTTCTGTTTGCATTGTAAGCTGCCTCGGGTGGCCAAGGCTAGCCTGATCTCATCAGATTTGAGAAGCAAAGCAGGGTAGGCCCTGACTGGGACTTGGAAGGGACACCAGCGAGAAAGTCCGGGGTCCCTACATGGTGGCAGGCACTGGCAAACTATCCTTCTTCATCTCTTGCCTTGAAAAACCCTGCAGGTTTAGTGTAATGGTTCAGTACTCGGACTTTTAGCCTTTTGATACTGCAAGATACTGCCTTGGACTGCAAGGAGATCAAATCAGTCGATCCTAGAAGTAATCAACCCTGACTGTTCCCTGGAAGGCCAGATAATGAAACTGAAGCTCAAATACTTTGGCCACCCAATGAGAAGGGAGCACTCACTGGAGAAGACCCTGATGCTGGGAAAGATTGAAGGTCAAAGAAGACGGGGACGGCAAAGGATGAGATGGTTGGACAGTGTCATCGATGCAACGGACATGAAGTTGAGCCAACTTCAGAGGACGGCGGAAGACAGGAAGGCCTGGCGTGATCTGGCCCATGGGGTCACGGAGAGTCGGACTCGACTGTGCGACTGAACAACAACAACAACTCGGACTTTAAACTGGGAGAACCAGGTTTGATTCCTCACTCCTCCACTCGCAGCTGCTGGATGACCTTGGGCAAGACCTTGGACGGTGCGCAGATGTTGGGTGTGTGAACGTGCATATAAAATCCGTTACTGAACCGTGCCGAAAGCGGACTAAACGGCCCATCTGACCGCACCCGTTGTGTGGCTGTTGAACATCTGAAAAGCAGAACTGGAAGGCAGTAAAATATTTGTGCTGGATTTCTTGCACTCCCTCTCCCCTCGTTTGAAGTGTATTCCTTTGAAATGTGGTGTCGCGGGAGAGATGTGGGGATACTGT